AATCCTTCGGGTACGATCTCTGGATTGTTAAATAAAACTCGCCAACTTAATTTGCAGTTTCTTTCGTTATAAAGATTCTATCTAATGTCCTTTATTTTCTCAATAATTCACAATTCAGTTATAATGCACTTTACTATTTACAATCACTAGCATCAACTTTCACAATTTACTTTACTTAAATATAATCTCCAACGCGTTTACTTTACGACTTCACTGATGTTAACGCCAACCAGGTCTCTTTGTAACTAACTTGACTTGCAGCTGAGTGTCGCCCTTATATAGCAGTCGGCTGCTCGCAGACGAAAGCGTAGAAGCATCGAATTGTTCGCTATGGAAGGTTCTTGTTTTATCGTTTCTAGAACGTACTAGTTATCGGCTTCTCTCTTTCATCTGACATTTGCCTCGAATTTTCGCAACAATATTAAATTTCAATTCAGTGTCATTTTATTTAAGTTTTGTTTAACTGATTAGTTTATTTATTATATATCATTTTTATTTGATATAAGTTAATTTGATTTAATTTGAATTGTTTTATTTTTCTTTCTTTTTTAATTCAGTTTTTGAATTTGTATTATTTTATTTAATTTTCGTTCATTTTACTCAAAAATTTTTGATATATATAAAATATATTTTTTTTTTTTATATTTACCTTTTTTTGTTTGTTGAAGTCTGATCTATTTTACTTTGATTAAATTTTTCCATTTTTTTTTTATTTTTTATTTTTAATCCTTTTTCATTTTATATCTCTGTAATATATTTTTTATCTTATTATTAATATTCCGCCATCCCTTTCGTCCACTGCTTCACCTCCTCCTTTACATCCTTGTCGTTTTAAAATGTTTTTCCGCCCATGTGTTCATCCATAATGAATCAGGGATCGTAACATATCGAATTTCACATTTTTTTTTAACTTTTCATCAGTCACAATTGAAGGTCTATCGCTCCCCTGGTCATCATACACGGACGTACGACCATTTCTTAAATAGCAACACCACTCGTACGATTCATTACTTTATAACCATACGTGTATGTAGTTCTCAGTAGTCTATGCTAACCACTCAACTACCACGGTCGCAAACACATATAAAAATACCAAAATTATGGGTTAATGCTGCGGTACATATGAAAATGAAGCCAAAAAATAAAATAAATTCAAATAAAAAAAAAATTAATAAATTAAAACAAAACTAATTAATATAAAAATAGGAATGAAATTAAAAAACTCGGTAAATCGAATTTAATGAAAAATAAATAAAATTAATTTCTATTCAAAGGAACTAAATCTAAATAGAACAAAGTTTTTAAAGTCGAGCATGCCATCAAGGGTATACATTTTTCAATCAAACAATGTATATTAATTTCTGGTTTCATAAGTAAATTTGCAAAAAAAAAAAACAGTTAAGTAAATAAATACATTTGCTGATTTGAATTATTTGACACACGGTAAGTATATCTTATACATACATATGTGAATTGGTTTGTAGTTGTACTTGAGCGACATTGAATGGATTTTGATGATGCAATATAATTCGAAAGTGACATCGCCCTCAACAGCTGTGGGAATAGATTTGCGGCATCATATGAATACAAGCCTACATATGTATGTACATATTATATATTCATATACAATTATACTTCCATTCAGTCATGTTTGTATGTATATATATATATATATTTAGATAATACACTTAATCACATGTTTCCATAAGCACATGTCTCGCTTTATTTACATTTTGACAACTTTTGGGGGTGTTTCCTTGTGATTGACGCACACTTTTTTTCTTAATCTTAATCTGATGTGGGACTCATTTCACCTAAAAGCATATCGAATGATGTACATATGTATGCGTCTGTGTATGTATGTTAAAAATGTGTACTTGAATTGACACAATTACCCATTTGAAGTGTGAAGCGTTATTAAATGAGCAGCATTAAGCCGAAAATTCAAAATTTGATTATCACTGAGTTGAGAAGTTTAGTAATACAAATTAACAAGTAAAACAAATGACTTGGTGAAAGATTCAAAGCAAAATTTCTTGATATTTGATATATAAATTTGCACACATTTTGCTCGGAATAAGTTACTGTGTTGTCGTGATTTGAACTTACTAATTAACCTAATGAAATTTACTTCACTTCATTATATTTGAAAGATTTTATTTTTTAATTTATCATATTGTATTTTATGTCATTAAAATTTGTTGTTTTATATTATATTTTATTTAAACTTATGTTATTTTATTTTTTAATTTTATATAATATATTGTAATTTAAGTTTTTATTATATTTTATTTTATGCTAATTTATTTTATTTAATATTTTTATGCCATTAAATTTTTTTAGTATTTTTTTATTTTATTTTATTTCATTTATATGTTATATAATTTTTTTATTTTTTTATTACATTTTTTTTAATTAATTTTTTTTATTCAATGTTTCTATAAATTATACATTTTCTTATTATTTTAATTGAGTTTCATTTCATTTAATAATTTTAGATTTATTTATTTAAATTTATCTTATTTTTATAATTTTTTTTTTTTTTTTTTTTATTAAAGTTTAATTTATTTTATGTTTTTATTATTTATTTCGAATAAAATAAATTAATTTACGTTTATACCTTTTATATTATTTACTTTAATTTTATTGTGTGTTAATATTTATTACTAATATTTTTTTTTAATTCTTTTTAATTTAACTCATTTAATTAATTTAAATTATTTGGTGTTATTTTGATTCTTTAAAATTTTTTATTTCTTTTTCATATTATATATAAATAACGTTTTTTTTATTATATTTTTTTTTACTATATTTGATTTTTGTTTGATATAAATTAATTTGATATAATTAAAATAATTTACTTTTGATACTTCTTTCATTTTATAATATTTTATTTATTTTAAAACTTAAATTATTTCTTGTAATTTTATTTTATTTTCATTTTATTTGACTTGGGTTAAGTATATTTCATTTAATTTTATAAAAGTTTTGTTTTTTTAATTTAAGTTTTTAAAAAATTTTATTTTATTTTGCATAAATTAATTTGATATACTTTAAATTAATTTACTTTAAACACTTTTTTATTTCATATTTATTTTATCTTAATATTTTATTTAATTATTTTTGTTTTAAATTTATTTTATTTTAATTTATTATTTCGTTTTTTTATTTAATTTACATTTTATTCAATTTTTTTTTAGTTATATCTTATTTTGTTTTCACTATGTTTATTTCTTTTTTATTTTTCTTATTTAGTTTTTTAATATTCTTATTTTTTTTATTTTTGTTGAAGTCTGATTTATTTCAGTCAAATTTATTTATGATCAAATTTATTTTTATATATTTTTTAAATTTATTATTTCATTTAAATTTTTTTTTCCTCCTTTATATACCCTCTAATATATATTTTTAAATTATTATTTATATTAGTATGTTTTTTTAATCTATATTTATATTTAAATTGTATTAAACAAATTATGTGTTTTTGAACTCAGCTTTCCTTTTCCGCAATTGGCTGCCAAAGTGAAATTAGTATGCCTTAATGGAACAAATATAGTGGTGGCTAAATTATTTCTGGCCGCCTCAAAGTATGCTATCATTATTTATTTTTCTTTATAGTTTACCCAAAATAAAGGCGCAGAAATCGTGTATGAAGAAAATAATTCTCTTTTGGTCTCTGAATTAAGAATTTTCTTAGTTTTGTAGGACAATTACTTATATTTGCCTTAATGTGTTGTTAATACAATTAATTATTTTCGTTAAATACGATGTGCTATGAAAATTTTGCTATAAACTAATAATGGATTGTATATGTGCGAAATGAGTCAAACTTCACTTCACTTTCTATGTTTTCACGAGCTCGAAATTTCTTACTCTGTTGTCAGATACACGAATTTATATTCAGTTCTGTGTACTACCATACGAAGGGTAACAGATTTGATTTCTGGCCAAAATTATGGAAAATTAATTATAAATTATGACATGAAATGAGAAAAAAGATAAGAATAAATTTATTATCATTAGTGCCACCTTTTATTTGCACGAAAAAACATCAAACCACCATAAATCGAGCGTTATATATATTATATATACATATATATTTGTAACCGCTGAAGCGATTTTCGGCCGGGCTTCTCCTCAAATTTTTTGTGTTTGCGTGTTTACGTTTTTCCAACAAACGGAGGGACCTATAATTTATTTATAATTGATGGTTTTTTAAGGAGCTTTATTTCCTGTCAGAAATACACTCGGAGGGGTTGACATTCCTCAATTTTTTATATTAATTTATTTTCTATAACTTTTGGATGTGGGATAAATAAAAGTTTAACCAAATAATAATATTTTAGAAATCATTCATAAAATATATTGAAAATATAATATATAGTAACAAGGTTATCGATACGGTAGGTATTTTATATAAATGGGGCTCAAAACCTCATGGGAACCTTTCTTTGTAGAGCCCTTGTTCGCAAGCACAACATAGTAACTCAACTCTCTCACACACAAGAAAAAGCCACAAATAAGTACGCATATATAAAAATGAATAACAAACAATGCAAAGAGTGTGGTGAGATCTTCGCAATTTGGTTGGTTTGGGGAACATTCAAAGTACACAAACAGTGTTAGGGAGTGTGTGAAGCGAAGAAGACTGAAAAATTTATAGCAAATTTATAATTAAAGTGTATATTGTGTTCAAAACTTATAAATTGTTTTTATATTTCTGTAAACAGTTATATCGCAAACGATGGCCACACGCATCATACACCTGCCAAAATACAGCCGCCTCAGCTGTCTTGTCAAACCACTAACAATCAGTGCACGCACTTTCGCCACCGCGACCGCCTCTACCAATCCACCTCAATTCACCACACTCAGCGTCGACGATAGAACGGGCATCGCCACACTCACACTCAATCGACCGCCGGCAAATGCGCTCAACGCTCTATTCATGGGCGAAATTCAGCGCTCTATCACAGATTTGGAGAAAGAGAATTGTCGTGGTCTCATACTCACCTCTTCGTCGGAACGTATCTTCTCTGCCGGACTTGATTTAAAAGAATGCTACAAGGCGGAGGTGGCGAGTTTGGAGGGTCTTTGGTGTGCCTTGCAAAATCTCTGGCGTACGCTATTCTCCACGCCGCTGATTACTGTGGCGCTAATAAATGGCCATGCCATTGCGGGCGGTTGCATGTTGGCGGTAAGTAGTGAATATCGTATTATGCTGCCGAGTTTTAAAATCGGCGTGAACGAGACCATGGTTGGATTGGCGGTACCTTCGTGGTTGATGGACACTTATATAAATATTATGCCCAGTCGACGTATAGCGGAATGGGATCTCACTTCTAGTCGTATTTATAGCAGTGAGTCCGCTTTGAAAGCGGGTTTGGTAGATGAGTTGGCGTCCAGTAAAGAGGAAGCTTTGCAGAAATCTGCAGCATTTATTGATAGCTTTTCAAAGCGTACACTTATGGCGCGCGCCATTACAAAACAACAGTTTCGTGCGGAAATTTTGAGGAATTTCGAACAAAATCGTCAACACGATTTGGATATATATTTGAGCACCATGCAAAAACCATCTATGCAAGAATTTCTAGGCGAGTATTTGCAAAGCTTGGACGCGAAGAAGAAGTGAAGTTGTACCGATTCAAATTGTATGTACATATATACTTACATACCTATGTGTATCAAGTGAAGCTGAAAGACTTTATACAATTTTTTGAAAGAAATTAATTTTTGTAAAATAAAAATTCGGCAATAATTTTACTGCTTACTTATTCACCAGTTCTTGGAGTTCTTTGAACTGTCTACGATTTTTCGTTTTGCTCTGATTACGAAGACTCCTCTCGTTCTTTGAAACCATAAAAACAGATCCGGAGAACTTGAATTTAAAAATCTGAGAAGATAAGATCAGAAATTCGTAGTCGTTTGTGGTGTTAAGAAGCATCTTAGACCATTACAGGCCTTGAACAAGTCCAGCTCTATTCTAGATGTGCTGAGGGAAGAGGTATACCGACCGGTATGTCTATTTTTTGTTCCCCAATCTTGTCATGGACAAAGATGACTAAATACGAAACTTACTCAAAATCACTCAAGTTGCAATTGAGAGCGTTCCCTTCATCTCATATTCTAATATTGGCAGCAATGTCAAATCGGGGAACATTAAACAAAACTCACCAGTACCACTATGTCAAAAAAAAAATCCATTGTTTTTGCTTCAAAAGAAATTTGCTTCAGCAGTAAATGTTAAAGAAATTGTTGTTTTTTTTTTTGTTATTAAAACTTTACATAATTAAATATTTGATTGCTTCTCAATAAAATATTTTGGTGGAAATTTTTTATTAAACCCGTCGTTGTTTGTAATAAAATACCCGAAATATTCCTAAAAATTCAAAGAAGTTATTTTTCTATCACATTCATCTAACCTGAGTGTCACGTTCAGAAATATTATAAAAAATGCGAATTTTTGAGCGCTATCACGAAATAAAGAGATTTGTATCTTGTCCTCTTTGGCCATGGATTATATTTTGGCGAAAATGCAAACTACAAGTGTAATATGGCATTTTCACGACAATACAATTGTTGTTCGCTCTCTCTCTCTTTTTCCATATTCCAAAATAAAAAATTTACTTGGCTACACATGTTTTTGAGGGCGAATCATGCCAAAAAAATGGTAATCATTCTCAATCACCATGCGCACTACGACTAAGTCGTCGTCTTCTGCAGCATTTATCGAAACTGACTGACAAGTCAAAACAAAAATATATTCAAGGGTGTCGAAAGGGTCGAAACCGACACCGGAACTAAAAATCAATATCTGTTTTTTTTTCTAGGATTAGAAAATCCGATGTTCGAATCAGCTTGAAACAAAGTTGCGTTTTTGATGATAGAAGGGTTTGGGGAAATCAGCGAGAAAATAAAACTCAAAATTGTTAGCGATACGAGCAATCCACTGGAGTTGCTGATACAAAAATTGTTGTATGTCTTAACAAAGACGTCTTTGTGGTTATTACAAAGTGCTGAAAGCTTTTGAACGGTTGATTAACCCAAGCTGGATAAAGTTAGGAATCAACTTCAAAGACCATTTTTACTCCAAGTACCGTAATTCAGGCATTAGTAGTTGTAAAATCGATTGTTTATGACTTACATTTTTATTCAATTTCCACAGAGAACGGATATCAAAGACAAGGACCGGGCGTGCCGATTGCCATTTGTTCCGCCTACGGGATTACTAAGAGACAATTTCACCTCTTTACGATATTAGTAGGAGACTTTTTCACCGCTAGTTAACAGCGAACTACCAACGACTGACTATTTATTTACAGAAGAATGATATTCGTAACACAATTACTTTGTTGTTGTTGTTGTAGCGGTTCACTAACCCGCTTAGGCACAGATTTGATCAGTCTAAGTCGCCGAGGTCATCTAATGGTAGGTCCAGGAAACGAGCTGTTTCGACGGGGTTGAACCAAAGGGAGAGGGGGATTAGATGCATGTGAAGAGCTGGTTAGTGTCGTGCGGAGACTCTCCACATGCAGGGCATACGCTGGGTATGCTGGGGTCTAGTTTGGTTAGGTAGGAGTTTAACCTGCTATAATATCTAGACCTGAGTTGTGTCAGGGTCACGCGGGTCTCCTGACGTAGCTCAAACTCGTTGTCTACTATAGGTGGTGGTATTTCTCCGAGTACGCCATTCACTGGAAGGGAGTCCTTGAAGGTGTTGACAGATTCCTGGTATCCTGGCAATCGTTATTTGACGTTCTCTGATTTCCGCTTTCAACGAAGCACATAATTATATCAACGATTAACTGCTCCATTTAATTCTGACCCTCAAACCGATAAATCAATTTCTGTAACATACAAAATCGATAGTCATTTTGTTTTGAAAATTAAACTAATCCATAATCTGAATGTGTAATCCATTATGCGGCATTTCCACTACAGATCAATTACTTGTTTCGCTCTCTCAATTACGAATGGGAGCAACTCCTATTCACACGGCACGCAGTTCGACAGTTTTCTGTTTCGCTTGTTTGTTCCATTTGAAAACGTATGGAAAATGAAAGATTTGAGTAGAAGTTCACAAAATCTTGATTTGAAATGGTAATGGAATGTCAGTTTCTATAATAATTTCTCATTTCTTTTTCCTTTAATATACAAATAGTCTTTGGTTTCAAATCAATTTTTGTGTGTTAGTGTTTTCTTTTATGTTTCTCCTCTCTTTTGTTTTGATTTGTCAGCTGTTTCGAAAAAATTTCGATAAGAATTAGAGAAGGCATCGATTTGGTCGTAATTCGCATGGCAATTGAGTATGGATTACCCACTTTTACTGCAATTCGATCACGAAAATTTGTATGGTGAATTAAAAAATAATTCGGCAGGTACTGGTATTTGGAGTGCGAATTACGATTGCGGGAGCGGAACACAAAATTTGGATTTCGTAACACCCGTAAATAAAATAATTAATAAAAGTAAACGGCTATTCCACGCCATCGTGAATTACATTGTTCGTCCTCTCAATTATGAACTCGAATTACCCCATTCACATGGCAGGAAAAAGGTATGGGTAGAAATGATTAAAGAAGCTACTATACATTGTCTAGTCGGGTATTAAACTTGTTGAAATTACAAAGAGAACGATAAAGTCGGAGTAAACGTCACCGAGAACAATCAAGAAATAACTTTCTTGAGATGTCAGTGTTAAGAACACTGTGAGCTACAGGAAAATAAACTATGTGAGTTTATAGTGTTTTTCTAAGACACACTGTAAACTATGTGTTGATCGAACTCGAGGGATTGAAATTTTTTTTTAATTTATGTAATGCGTGCTTTCGATCCTCCATATTTCATTTTCTTCTCATTACCTTTAAAAAATTTGTTCTACTCCAAGCATTCTCTTCTTTAGCATTAAATGGTATTTTCTCATAACGAATTTTGACATATCTCACTCTTTGATTTTTACCCACCAATCACAATCAACTATACAAATAAACTACATATAACTTTATGAGCCAAACAATCACTGCATCACAGCAGGGAAAAAATGAATCAACTAAAAAGTTTGTGCAAATATTTGCATAAAATTGAGAAGGGAATTGCAATTGCATTTGCGAAGGTAAGATGAATGATTACATGTGATGCACACGCACACACATGTTACATACACGTATGTATAAAATAAGTGCACGTTTTTGGTGTGACCTTATAACACGGAAACTGCTAACACGAACTCAACCAAACCTTGCATCTTATTCGAGTTACAATACATATGGTTCATATGAACTTTTCCTGAATTCTGAAAATAGGGCATACCACCTACCATATAAATATACTAACTAAAATGTAAGAATTGGTGAAGGGTTGATTTATTACTTAATAACTTTAGAATAGCTGCGTAGAGTTCAACCAAATTTATACAACATTTTCGAGGTATCAAGGTGGATGCGTTAAGTTTTTCCAAACTCTGAGCAGGCGGCGTGGCATCTTATCCTATTCATAAAAAAACGTATGTTACTTATAACTTAAGAACGATTTCAACCGAATTTGTAGATTATACATGTTTTCATTGTTGCCTCAACGAGTTCACAGAATTTATGTAGCATACAGCGGCTGATGGTATTTTTTTACGAGGGACCTTATTTCATGCCATAAATACATTCGGAGCAATTAGAAAACTCAGGTTAATTTTTTATTTAAATAAATTTTCTTTAACTTTTTGGATGTTAGTACGACAACTGGGTTAGAACCCGAGCCTTCCGAATGGCAGTACGCAATGCTAACCCCTGGGCTACCGTTATTCGTTACTATATTATAGTTTGACGATTTGTGATCGCTGAAGCGATTTCCTGTCGAGTTCCTGCTCCAACTTGTATAGGTTTTGATATTTTTCCAAGAAATGTTGGACCCACAATTTATTCTAAGCCGCCGCTCGGTCTCTTGGATTTTTACACGGAGTTTTAATTTCATGGCAGAAATATTTGACATACATATATTTAGATATCAGAATAAAGAGATTTCAAAAGCTGGGAGAGACATTTCTATGAAGAGTTCTCACATGCAAAGGCAGTTTTGAAGACATGCAGTGCAAAACCAAAGAATCCGTTGAATACCAGACCAGAAAATTTCCGTTTTTTTCGATATTCGCGGTTTGGTCCATCATAAACTCTTTCCAACGGTACAGACGGCCTTGAAAGAGTCCTATTACGCTTTTGCGTGAAAATATCCGTCGTAAATGGCCGGAATTGTGGGCTAAAAGTTTTGACGATTATTCGTCATCGCACCTAGCTATAATTGTGAACGATTTTAAACTCAAGTTAACACTCCGTGAAACACATTTTGACTCGATTGAGGCCGTAAAATAAAAGAGGGAACTGAGGTTGACTGATTTCAACAGCCGCTGCAAAAAAACCGGTTTCACAGATCGCGCTCATTTTCGGCATACTAATTAAGGACAGTGCTACCAACTTAACAAAAAAATGCTGAAAAATACTCAGCACGGGGAGCTTAAATGACGATTTCCGAAAACTTTTTGGTCCTAACGTTTAACCAAATGGTTAAGATAATGAATAATAGAATGTATGTATCAAGTTAAGGACGAATAGGGAAGGCTTTTTGCGAAACTATTTTTGAAAAGGG